CCTGCTCCGGTCAACTGAGTGATAAAACTCTGGTGGAGGCACCTGGAACATTCCTGACTTCTAAGCATCTTATAGGGGATGGAGTCCCCAGAGAGACAGCGGTGGCTTCCAAAGTTAACAAAGGGCTTATCAGCCTCGTTCTCTCTCCACCCAGGTTCTCGCTGGCTCACTTTGATGATGAGGTCTGCAGAGACGTCAGTAAGTGCTTTCCTCCAGCCTGCTGCTCATCCCAATATCCCCAGGGCCGGAGAGTGCCTGACACATGGCAGGGGCCCAGTAAGTGGTTTGGAGTGAATGAACGGGTGAATGAATGAAGGCAGTGTTTTTCTGCCTTGCCTCTGCTAGTCATTGACAAGCACAACATGTCCTGTGAGCAACATCTCTCATTCCACAAAGTGATTCCCACTAGTGTAGGGGGAGAGAGGGAGATAGCTGCACATCAAAGTATCCGGGGCCTTAGGGGTTTTTTGGGGGGGTGGGCAGAGTCTCACTTTGTTGCTCAGGCTGGAGTGAGTGCTGTGGTGTCAGCCTAGCTCACAGCAACCTCAATCTCCTGGGCCCAAGCAATCCTTCTGCCTCAGCCTCCCGAGTAGCTGGGACTACAGGCATGAGCCACCATGCCCGGCTAATTTTTTGTATATATATTTTTAGTTGGTCAATTAATTCCTTTGTATTTTTAGTAGACAGGTCCCACTCAGGCTGGTTTCAAATTCCTGACCTTGAGCAATCCACCCAGCTCGGCCTCCCGGAGTGCTAGGATTACGGGCATGAGCCATCACACGCCGGACCTGGGGCCTTAGGTTTAATAACACCCGCCACATACCTCTCAGGAGATCCGAAAAGGGCCACGCTGACCCTGTGGAAAGAGACTAAAGGAAAGCACTTGCTGACTTCCTCCATCCAGTCATCTGGCCAACCTTGGGCGAAGCCAGGCAGAGCGAGGGGAGAGGTGGGGAGAGGCTGCCGGACTCCAAGGCTGCGCGGCTCTGCTGCTCACTCGTGCGCACCCGCACGCAGGGAGCTACAGCGCTGGGTGTGCGCCATGCCCTGCACGGACAAGGGCTAAGGTCATTTTGCTTTCAGAGAAATGAGTCTCCCACCCAAACGTGCAATGCCAAAAAAGAAGCTGGGAGGGGGAGCCCGCCACCAAGGCCACTGCCTGGAGCCCCATCTCCTCGCCGGAGACATCCTTGGCTGTTGTTCCGCCCCATGGTGGGGAGCTGGGGCTCTCTCACCTCGCCCCTCCAGGCCGTGGGGAACCCAAGCTAACACCCTAGACAGCTGCCCCCATGGCTCTGGGGACATGTGGGCACTGTGAGAGACAGACCCACTTTTGGGTCCTGAAGGAGTGAGACAAAAGAAGGCTCATTTTGAACTGAAATTCACCAGGGTGGCATCTGAGAGGAGGCTCTGAGTGCTCTGCCGCCTGAGGACAGCGAATACCTAGAGCAGGGAGCTGTCGAATGGCAAATCAGGACCCCAAAACCCACTGCCCTTAGCCACCAGCCTCGGGGATCTCCACGGGTCCCCATTCTGCAGTGGGTGCTGAAATGTGGGGAGAGGCTGGCATGTCCGATGGGAGCTAGGCTGTCACCACCTCAAGCTGTCATCGTTCCCACCTGCCCAGAGCAGTAGAAGCATACCCCAAAGGCATCGCACACGGCTTGAGCTGAGGCAGGAGGGGGCACAGGCGGCAGCGGGGGTGGGGGGAGTCCCTTTGCCTTTGGCATTTAGTCCAAGCACCTGAGCAGTGCCCTAATCCCCGCTGCTTCTCGGAGCTCTGTGACAGCCAGGCCGTGGCTTTTTCCTAGAACAAATGCCTTCCACAGTGACTTCAGAGCCCAAGCCTCACTTGCAGTCTTCGTGGCCCTGTGTGACTGCTCGAGATCCAGTTAGTAAGCAAAACCCTAGGCCTGCCTGGGTCTGCCACGTTCCTGTGCACAGACCAGGACAGGAAGACCCTGTTCCCCAGCACATCACGGCGGCTCTGACTCACCACCCAAAAAGGCTGCTGGGACTTGTAGAGCCACGAGAAGAGCAGCCACCAGTCGCGGAGGGCTTGTCACCTGCCAGGCCTGGTGCTGAACACTCAGCACGTCCTGTCCCTTTGGAGTAGAGACTCTCACGCCCTGTCTATAAAGGAGACCAAGAAGGATCGAGCCTGTGCCCCCACCAATGACCTTCACTTTTCTGTCCAGTAGGGCCAATTTATAAAACCAGGGCTTAGGACTAAGTTTGTTGCTACAGGAGAGAGTTTTCTCGCAGATGTGGAAATAGAAGACCCCACACACAACCCCCCACTGCATCCCTCGCCTCATTTATTGAATTAAATCGACCTTGACCTTCATTAGCATCTCCCCAGTGCTGATGGTAAACATTTTCCATCAGAACAGCAGTGGTCAGAGGGCCCAGTGCTGCTGGCCACCAGGTCTTGGCCTGACCCTTGGGGACAGAGTGACTGCTTGCTCACAGACTGCCCCCCAGACACAGGAGAGAAAGGGCTCCCTAAGACGCTTGCTGTATAGGCAGCAAAAATCCCCCCAAAGCAAAGTTAAAAAGGGATCTGTCTTCAAGGACGCTAGGCCCCCTCTTTTGTTCAATAGGAAGGAAATAAAAGCACTCTGCAAAGTGCTGAGCAGATTGAATTATACAACATCAGAAAGATTATCTGCTCTTGCTGCTGCATGTCAGGAAGGAGGCTGGGTGGAGGAGGAGTGAGGCGGGGAGACAGCCTGGGGGACTCCACGCTCCCCAGAGAAACCTGGCCCTCTGCAAGCAGCCAGCTGGGCCTCCTTCTCTCAGGGTGACGGAGAACCTCAGAGATCCTCAGAGTGAGGTCCCTGGGTCACCAGCACCCCATGAGAGCTTGTCAGAAATGCACATTCTCAGGCCTCACCCCAGCCCTGCAGGGGGGTGGCCGGCAATCTGTTGTTGCAACGCCCACGTGTTTGAGAACCACCGTTCCAGGGGAGGAGAAGCACTTGGGGGCTTCATTGGCTTCTTTCCTCTGGCTGGAACTGCAACACGGCTGCAAGGTCATGACCACAAACCCGGGAGCGCCCGGGCCACTGGCCGGACCACGACGGAGTCAGCGCGTTGAATTCCAACTTCCCGAGTCACCTCAGAGGGCAACGTGTTGTCTCCCCAATCACGGAGGCGCCAAATGTCTTGAAAATCAGTTTTCTGGCCACACTCTGCCTCTTGCTCTCTTGCCAGATGGAAGCAGGACTCCCCGACAGGATAAGGGACACTCACAGGACTAAATTAAGCCGATCTTCGTGAAGTGCCTAAAACTACGTCTCTATTTTTATAGGGCCTCAAAAAACACTGGCTCCTGTTCCTCCTTCTTGCTTCTTGCATCCTCCCAGAGCACAGCACACCCTGACTCAGTTCTTCTGATACGATTACGAATCACAGACCCTCCATCGGCAGCGAACCTAGCCCTGATCGGGGCGCCATCTCTCTCTGTGAGACACTGTCCCATATCATCATTTTCTCTCACCGTCCATCCCCACGGATGGCTCGGACACCACACCACTGCCTTATTATTGAAATGCACAGTTCAACACCGTTTTAGTACAACGACACAGCGAGGCTGTACAAACACGTACCTGCCAAATCATTTGTCGGCACAGAAATCACTGTCCCCAGACTTCCTGCAATGTAGCAGGAGGAGAGAGTCATTCTCCATGGGTGATTTGCCTGTTTTCTCTTTAAAGGAAGGGTGAGAAGTTTTGGCATCAGGGCCCCAAATTTAAGTGCATGCCACTGTGATTCCACCGTTAGTTAGCACGGCCCTCAGTGACCACTCCCAAAACAGGGCAAAACAAAAGCCTTGAAAAAACCCAAGGAAAAAAGGGGAACCCGGGAACCCAGGAGCCAGTGCCCTGGCCAGGCCCCCACGGTGCGCCTGGGAGCGGCCACTAATGGCCCGTTCTATTTGTGGCTGGGACTCGAGGAGGTCAGTGAGCTGGTTCCGCCTCCTGTGATCCGGCGCTCCATCTGGCAGATGATGCTTTAATTGGCGAGTTAACTGGGAGTGGGAGTGACACAGATACAACCTCTGCCGGCCTTGCTCCTTCCCTGGCAACTGGGAGCCGCTCATTTTCTTCATGGAAGACGGAAGGGAGCAGGTTGCTCATTTGCCTCACTCGGAGTCTCGGAATTCTCCAGATGCCAGGCCGTCTGCCACTCTTCGTCCTCGCAGGGGAGGCCACGGGGGCTGGAAGCAAATTATCTTTAATGAGCCTGGAAGGATCCCTTCTGGGACCAACCTGCTCTCCGCATGCCGAAGCCGCACCACAGAGAGTCCCCTTTCTTCTCTGTCCCCAGAAGCACCTCCTTCTGCGCCTCATTTAAAGTGCCTAAGAGGCAAGTGGCTTCCAGACCTCTTTCTACCTCATATTCTAGCTCATTAATGAAGACAAAGAGGGACTGAAAAAATAATCATCACATACAAAACACACTTTCAAAAGGTAAAAGAGATATTACTTTTGTCTTTGTTTATTTTAATATTCATCCACACCTGGGCACAAGCATTTAACAATCTGGGCTAGCCTTCTATGAAAAGACAATAAAACATTTATTCATTCAATAAATATTTATAAAACACATCCCTTAAGCCAGGCATCATGCTGGGTCCTGGAGCAAATTAATGCGGAGCAAAACTAACAGAGTCCTTGTCTCACTGAACGCTAGTGCAGACAGCAGACGGGCATTCAACAAGCAAATAAAGAAATAGATATGTAATTAAAATGCATGGTAAGTGCTAGGAGAAACAAAGTGCATAATGGAGCAGAGACGCGGGAGGAGGAGACATTTAAGGCAAGACCTGAAGTATAAAAATGGGCCAGCCATGCAAACATTCAGGAGGAAAAGTGTCCCAGGAAGAGGAAATGATGTGTCAGAAGACCAGATAAGGCAAGAGTTGCATGGATTTAAGGAATGCAAAGAGGCCAGAGTGGTCCATGTGGCATGAGTGAAGAGGGGAGCAGAAAAAGAAGGAGTTAGCAAGGTGGGAAGAGGCTGGATCAGGTAGGATGGAGTTGGCAAGGTGGGAAGGGGCTGGATCAGGTAGGATGGATGGAGTTGGGAAGGTGGGTGAGGCCTTGATAGCTGTGGTACTAGGTCTGGACTTTTTTCCAACATGCAGTAGGAAGATTGAAGGGTTCTAAGAAGGTATATAATATGATACAATTTATCTTTTTATTTTATTTTATTTTATTTTTTTATTTCGGCATATTATGGGGGTACAGATTTTAAGGTTTCAATAAATGCCCATTTCCCCCCCCCTCCGAATTTATCTTTTTAAAAAAGTACCTAGGCCGCTGTCTGGAGAAGAAATTTGGAGGAATGAGAGGACGCAGGAGACAAGGAAGCAGGCTTCGTGTCAGTCCAGGTGAGAAATGGTGCTGTTTGGACTCATGTATTAGCCACAGAGATGGGAAGAAGTGGATGTATTGGAGATATCTGGGTGATTTGGGAGAGGAAGAAATCAAAGACCACACAAGATTTCTGACCTGGACCAATACATAAAAAGCGGTCGCAGTAGAGGTGGGACCAAGCTCTTTGGTGACAAAGACCACAGAGGCAGGAGTCTGGAACACAGAGGGCTGCTCTGGACATACCTGAGGGGACAGTCAGTGTGCTAATGCCTGCCACATTGCCCCAAACACTCGTTCCTCCCTGCTGATGTCAGCCAGAACATGAGAGGGAACCTGCAGCCCCAGGGCTCCTGGTTTCAGCAGCTCTACCAAAACCAAGCCAATTTTCTGCTTTCAACCTTTGGGGTTGAAATGCAACCAGAAACATCCCAAAAAACACAATTCAATCAAAAGGTTTCCCATTATTCACACAGATATTGTTGCCTTCTTGCCCTCAATAGCCTGAGCAGCAGTAGCTGATACAAGGACAGGCTTCCATACAAAGTTCTTTGTTGATTAAGGAAATGAAAAGATCTGGAGCCTTCAAGACCCTGATAATCCCAGACATGAGGCTCCACATCTGCTTTTCCTAGTCCCACTTTGACTGTGAACCAACCCTCATTCCCTTCCCTGAAATGCATGGACACAATTGTGAGTATCTTGGTGCCCAACAAGGCATTCAGTGTGACTTCTGTGAGGTGCAAATATTAATAAATCCAAGAATTCAGGCAAGCTTTAATACTTCTTTCACAAAAGGTATCACTTTTTAAATTTTTATTGTACTTGTTTGTGTGCTAGCTCTTCTACTAGATGCTTTGAAGGCAGGGTCTTTGGCATGGTCTTGAACCCCGTGAAAACTCACTCAGGCTTGCTAATTAGAGGAAGAGGCTTCATAAACAGTTTCTGATGATGATATCACAAATCTCCAATGCCATTGTCAAGTGGGAAGTTTAATTCAGTCCTATCCTAGGGATGAACCTTAAAAAAGTAAATGTAGTATTCCCCCTAGCCATCATCCATCCAAGCCCAAGCATCTCCTTTTCACAACTACCTAACAAAATTGCCAGATAGGAAATCCTTAAGTCAAGAAGAGGCCTTTCTTATCTTTAAAATGGAGATAATGGTGGGGGTTATTATGAGGATTAACTGAGATAATGCATGTAGTTGGCTTGCAACAATGCTGAAGAAATGATGATGGCGATGGCAATGACAATGGCCATGGCACTGGTGATGGTGATGGCAATGGTAATGACAATGGTGATGGCGATGGAGATGGTCGTAGTGCTGGTACAGGATGATGGAGATGGTGATGGTGATGGAGATGGCAGTGGTGATGGTCATGGCAATGGTGATGGTCATGGAGATGGTGCTGGATGATGGAGATGGTGATGGTCATGGAGATGGTGATGGCGATGGTGCTGGTGCTGGATGATGGAGATGGTGATGGTCATGGAGATGGTGATGGTGATGGCGATGGTGCTGGATGATGGAGATGGTGATGGTGATGGTACTGGATGATGGAGATGGTCATGGTCATGGAGATTGCGGTGGTGATGATCATGGCGATGGATATGATGATGGTGATGGCAATGGCAATGGTGCTGGATGATGGAGATGGTGAGGGTGATGGAGATGGAAATGGTGATGGTCATGGCAATGGAGATGGTGATGGCGATGGAGATGGCAATGGAGATGGTGATGGTGATGGCAATGGAGATGGTGATGGCAATGGCGATGGTGATGGTGATGGCAATGGTGATGGTGATGGTGATGGCAATGGTGATGGTGATGGTGATGGCAATGGAGATGGCAATGGTGATGGCAATGGAGATGGCAATGGTGATGGTGATGGGGATGGCGATGGAGATGGCAATGGAGATGGTGATGGTGATGGCAATGGAGATGGTGATGGTGATGGAGATGGTGATGGCAATGGTGAGGGTGATGGTGATGGCAATAGAGATGGCAATGATGATGGCAATGGTGATGGCAATGGTGACGGTGATGGAGATGGTGATGGTGATGGAGATGGTGGTGGTGATGGCAATGGTGCTGGATAATAGAAACCTTGCTCAGTGGAAGTGGAAACCAAGCTGAGATTCTCCCAGGGAGTCACTGTCCTGCAGAGTGCTTTGGGCAGGTTTTGGATGAGAGAGGCCTGATGAGAACAGAGTGACAAACAGCAACATGGGAATCGAGGAGCAGTGCTCCACAAATGCCATCTAACTACAGCCATAACTCAAGTTGGCCCAAAAAATATCACAGAGCACAGAAAAAGTTCCCACTACTTCCTTCTTTTCCTTGGTTCCAGAAACAAAAGTGGCCAGGAAGCATCCTTTCTCTGCTCATTCCTACAGCCTTTCCGCCTTCCTCAGTTAATGCCCCAATCCTCCTTTGTCACATGTAGCCTCCTGTAGATCCATTTAGAGAAGATGGCTTTTAGATGCTACTCCTATATTCCTTAAGATGATGAGGGAAATGCCTAATTACATATTAACCTACAAATAAAGGACTAATTAGATTGCCAGGCTATTAATAACGCCAGTGGGAGAATGTAGACCAACAGGGATATTGGAGAACTTACTTCTCAGAAGAGGGAGGAGTAGAGGCTAGAGCAGATTCTGGGCCAGCACAGAATCCTGAACATTTTCATGTTTTCTTCCAGTGGACACATTGGCTGCATGGAGGCCACTGTCAGGGTTGTCCATCATGCTTGCCTGTGTGACTGGCCACTTCGCTGATCCTATCCCATCCCCTTCTAGACTCCTAGGGAAAACAAGACCCCTGATCCCTTGCTTTGGTTAAACCCCTTCATCAGTCTTTGGGACATCAAGGAAGGAACAATGTGTGAATCCATTCACTTCAGTCCCCTTCTTCAGACCAGGCAATACTTGGCCCAACACTACAAATGTTTTTTGGAAGAACTAGAGATTGCTCCCCTGGGAAAATCCTCTTGCCATTAGCCAGCTGCCTCTAGGCAGCTCCAGCCAGAGAAGGAGGGAGAAGAAACCTTCCCAAGTGGCCTCCTGTCCAGGTGACTCCAACACAAAGCAAAAGGTATGGGTTTGAGAGATCACACATTCCAAAGCTGAGCTAAAAGTGTAAATGCCAGCCAAACTCTGTGACCAGCTGTCAGTCACCTGTTCCCTGTCCCCTGCAAGATACAACAGGGAATTTTGCCCCTGGGCACTGGCCAACTTCGGCTGTAAGACATCCCACTCATGGACTACCTCAGCCGGGGGAAGCACCAACCCCACTGGAAAGCAATTGGTAGAATGAAGTTTGCAAGAAAGAGAGACCATGAGACCTATCAGATGCTGCTTCTTGGCATACCATGCTCTGCCTCTCCACCCCTACACACACACACACACACACACACACACACACACACACACACTCACTCCAATCACAAACTCAGAAATGCAGACATGTGTACTATCTTTCTATAGGCAGATGATGTCAAGGACTCAGCATTAGAAACACCTGTGGTTTTTGACTGCTTTTCAAATAGAATCAAGGGATTATATCTTGAATATATTTTATATTGTTACTGCAAATTCAATCGCATGCCTTGTTGGTAGGAGGATGGAGAGGCAAACAGGGAGGAAACTACAGGCTAATTTGTCCTCCAGTCCACTAGGGAAACATGAACCCCACCATCAACATCAGTTCCTACAGGTCATTCACAATGTGAGCAGCTCTCAGGGCTGACACAAAGTGACCACTGCCAGGGACTTTGGGGTTTCCCGGGACACAGAACTTTCAGCACCAAGGCACTTTCAGGCAACTGGTACAGCTGGTAACTCTAATCAGAGACTGTGATTCCTCCGTTTAAAGATCCTTCTCTTTTCTATATTTAAAATACTGTGGAATTATATTTGCATATGTACTCATTCATATTACATACTGGACATTACTTTCTTCATTAAACATTCGTGCTGCATAATTTAGCACAGGATTTTACACATTTAAGAGTTCTATGGTAACATCAGAGATTTTTCAAAGACTGTTTTGAATCTATGAGATTTTTGTCTGACCTGATGACTTTGACACCCAAGTAAGACGCAAACCCCCTGCAGAGGGACTGGGCCACTGAGAGGCCAAGGCTCAGAGGGAAATCCCAGGCACAGAAGAGGGACACTTTGTGGGAAGCCAACAGGGCCATGCACAGCAGATGCCATGAGTGGCCCAGGCTCAAAACACTCATGGCTCTCCCCAGCCGAGGAAACTACCTGTCCAGCTGTCAGCTGAGCTGTTAGCAAGAGGGACCTTCTGCGAGGCTTTGAGTATGTTACCAATCCCCTGTGTGTTCTCTGCTCTTCACATTTTAAAAAGTTTTAAGAACGTGTGACTTCACAGCACAGATAATTGATGAGGAGGTCTTTTGACAATATTAGCATGATGTTATTTCAAGGAAGCATGGCCCCATCCCTCTGCATGCCTCGCTCCCCAGCACCCTACACCACACACTAACTATGGGGCACAGATCAGTATCCCGCACCCACGAGAGGAGAATCAGTCTGGAAAGTAGAGATAAGGCCAAAGTGGGCTGGCTGGATCTGTTCAAGATGCTGAGTTCCTGCCTGTCTTGGGAAGAGGAGATATACAAGAAATCTGCTGTCACAGAGCAAGTCCAAGGTGAAATAGTTTGTGATGGTGAGAAATCACAGGCTGACGCTTGTGTGTGGAGATGGTGGTATCTGAGCTGCATTTGGAAGACTGGGCAGGATTAGTACAAGGGACCTGAGAGAGGAAGGGATTCTAGGTAGAGCAACAGCATGACCAGCAGCAGGAACAGCAAACATTTCTCAAGAGCCTGCTCACACCTCTCAGCTACCCACCTGCACTCTCACGGTGCCTTTCACAGCTAAAAGGCAGAGAAGCAAGAGGGAGAGAGGGATGGAGGAAAGACTGGGCTGGGTGCCACAGGAGATTGCTTTGATGTTCTGCAGTTGCTTAGCCCTGGGGTCTTGGG